TTGGGAAGATTTTGCTTCAGATTTATGCAAATTTTGAATGTCATATATGAAATCATCTGAGGTATCTCCAAAAGACCCATTTTCCAGTACATCAGATTGTCCTAATATAAATATACCAAAAATTAATTAAAAATAATAAATTAAATAAAAAAATAATGTTAGTAATAAATATTTCTTAAACAAACAACATAAAATTAACACAATAAATATTAATATTTTGTGCATTGAACCTGAAGTAGCAGCAGCTCTATGATCAGTCGATTTCACCGTTCGATACATCTGCACGAAAAATAAAAAAAAAATGAAGCAACTAATCATATTTTTGAAAATATAAAACAACATAAATTAAATGATAATTAAATTAAACAGAATAAGCTATAGAAAAATTAATCAATTTTTGAACCCTTTGCATGTATATATGTACACCACACATACATGATACATACATGCACATGTAACATGTGTCTTTAACCATGGTTTGTCAAATGTGGTTAATTAAACCAAGGACCTGCAGATATCATTGTGTCATGATGGTGTTTTCTGTACTTTCTCTCTATTTTCATTATTTGGTATATGAAAATAATAATTATGGGCAAACATTAATTGCTTATACAGTTTTTTACATACTGAGTAAACTCAAAAAACTAGTTGATTATTCAGCTAGGAAAAAGTCAATTGGTTTTTCATGAAAGGACAAAAAAGAAAAAGCAAAAAAAAAAAAAAAAGAATAATTGATGAAAATCTCTAGCTAAATTAGTTTTTTAGTCCCTCGAGGGACTCCCTTTTTGCTTTTTGGTCCTGAAAAATTTGCGTTTTCGGGAAAATGGTCCTGTAAATGAATAGAATTAGTTTTTTGATTCTCTGACCGCCTACAGCAGGTCAGAGTTACCGATGACTGCCTACGTGAAAATTCACCTGATTTTTTTTTTTTGCTGAGTTGTAAATGTAACGCTTATGTATATGGCAGATTGCAAAAAAATTGCAAGGAGTGGGATTCGAACTTGGATGCCTAGCTAGAAAACTTCAAAATTCTTAGATTGACATATAAATATCCATTGGAAAATAGTCAAACACAATTAATTAATTAATTAATTAATTAATTAATTAAAGATGAGTCCAATAATTTACCTGTAAATGGGACTTCACATGAGCTAGTGTGAGATCTTTGACATCCATGAGCTCAAGAACAGACTTAGGTGTAGCTCCTATTACATATATATATATATATATGTATATATATATATATCACATTATTAATCATATACAAACACAATCATAAACACAAACACAAACAAACAAAATTGACACCAATAATCATACAACATAATTAATTTCCCCACAATTAGCTCAAACAATAGCACAATAAAATCATAAAATCCTAAACTAATAAAAATCGAGCAGAATGTAAAAAAAAAAAAAA